TAAGTGCCTGCCTTCGGCTCAGGTCATAATCCCAGGGTCCTGGGATTGAGCCCCGCATCGAGCTCCTTGCTCAGCGGGGAGCCTGCTCTTTCCTCTCCCTCTGCCTGCCGCTCCCCCTGCTTGTGCTCTCTCTCTTTCTCTCTCTGTCAAATAAGTAAATAAAATCTTAAAAAAAAAAAAAAAAGAAAAGGATCAGAGAAGTGTCAGCTAAACTCAATCTGAATAGATTAAGTTGCAGTCTTAATTTTTAAAATTTTCTCTCACATATTCTGTGTCTGCCCTCTCAGGTTTCTTCCTCTTTTTCTCTAACTTACTGAATATATTAGATAAAATTACATTGCTCCAGGGTAAAAACCATTTACTCTATCATGAATAAAGTGCCCGGAAAAATAGGCTCCAGATATGGGAGACAGTGATTTAGACCACTTACGACTATTTTACAAATTCTAAGACAGGGTTAGGAATTTTTTTTTTCCAACTAAAAACAACTCAGAGAAAGTATTAGAATACACAAGTAAATAAATTTAATTTGGGCGTTTGGGTTTTTATGTTGAGAGAAATATAACAATGAGGAGGCTTCTTCCATCTTTATCTACGCGAGAAAAATACTGTTTTTATAAAGTAACATTCCCATTCATTCAACAGATATCTATCAAGTGTGTTGATTTTGAAGACGTTGCTGTTAAAGATTTTTAAATCTTATTTCCCTTTTCGCAAATCTAGCGGGACATGGCATTTTGCCCCTTGGGCATCTGACCCATTCCCTCAGCCCCTTCCCTGAGCTTGAAGATATAATGACTTGAGTTATTTTAGATCAACTTCTGTGAATGTTCTGATAAACTTCACTTTCATTAGAACACACTCAATTAAACTAGACTCATCCCAGAAACAGTACTGTGCCGGGTACAGCACTCCCGGGATATATGGCAGTAAGCAGGGCCCGGATCTGCCTTCACAGAGTGTATATAAAGCTAGAGTGTGATTTGAAGTATGTGATCTTGTTCTACCTTTTTGCAGTTAAGCTTTCCACAACATCTGCTTCCTGATATGGAGATTAAAAAAAAAAAATAGAAAAGTGAAGTGGCTTAACCTGTTAAAGGATTTAAGAAAATCAGAAAGTAGTATGGTACCAAGAAATCCAGAAAGAGTTGATGCATGGAGAAAACATTGAGGGAGGGAGGACATAAGTTAGTTGTGGAGTAAGAAACTCAGATTTTGGCTTAATTCACAAAGCACTTGCTAAATTGGTCAGTTTGTTAGCAGTAAATTTTTATCATTGAATTCTCTTAAGGGAAAAGGACTTTTTTTTTTTTTAATGCCTGGAGGCGCACTAATGTCAAAAAAGCACTGATTTGCAGAAGAGTATTATTTGTGGTCAGGAAATTACGTAGTGCCAACAACAGGGAAAACACAGCCTCTGATTGCTTGGATGGAGAGCAAGCCAAGGTTTATGGCAAATGGGGCCGTTGGAAGGGAAGGTGAAGTTAGGGAAGGCCATGGTGTTCAATGAGAAATGCCAAGATTTTGGAGAAGGGAACAAAGCTAAAATTGTGCCATGTGGGTAGAACTGAAAGGAAAGAGCCCGACTAGGCTGTTCACCATCCTTCTTCCCTTCACAGTTTCTGTTCATGACCCTGCCCGCCCCCACCTTGTTGCAGCAATTTGTAGCTACTATGGTTTCTAGTCAGCCATGCTTTCTTCACTTCCCTACAAGACTCACTGCGGGTGAGGTGGAAGAGAATGTGTGCAGAAAGCTGGGGAAAGGCTGAGGCTAGGCCACTGTGATCCAAAATCAATTTGGAAGAAGGGACGTTTCTGTGGATGCTACCCACAGTTGTCAAATTGTGGCCAGTTGGCTTTATTAACAATTAGACTATTATTTGTCACCAGAAGTCTGTTAAAATATTGTGAACCTACCTCTGTTTATGAACATCATTATTTCCACTTAGCCATTTTTAAAGAAAGCCCACTATTATGGTCATGACTTTGCTCAGAAGTAAATGGACTTTCCTGCTCAGGATCATTCTTTAAGGGTCATAATCAGCTTTAGCTTCTAAGCCTGACCAAATCCCAGCTAATCACCCAGCCCCTTTGGGACAAGGTGCTATGATACTCTAGTATTAAGATTATACCTTTAACACTTATTTGATAGACAATCTTTGCATCTAAAATGAAATAAAATAGGGGCACTGGGTGGCTCAGTCATTAAGCGTCTGCCTTCGGCTCAGGTCATGATCCCAGGGTCCTGGGATCGAGCCCCACATCGGGCTCCCTGCTCAGCAGGAAGCCTGCTTCTCCCTCTCCCACTCCCCCTGCTTGTGTTCCCTCTCTTGCTGTGTCTCTCTCTGTCAAATAAAAAAATACAATCTTAAAAAATAATAAAATAAAATAAAATGTTGAGTCTATTTTTAATGTTGACAACAGATAACCATATATAAACATTTTATCTGAACTTTTTGGTATCTTAACCACTGAAAATAGAGTATGTCCAAAATTAAACTCCTATTCCCTCCCAGACCTATACCCCATCTGCTCCCTCTCTCGGTAAATGATACAACAACATCCATCCACTGAGTCTCAGTCTCGAACCTGAGAGTCATTCTGGCCTCTTCCCAGCTCTTTGATGACCTGAATGTAAAGTTGGTCTTTAACCTGAGCAGCTGTGCAGTAGTTTCTTAGGCCAAGAAACAAATGCATCACATAACACTTCTTTTCTCCATTTCTTTTTTCCTTTTTTCTCTCTCTTTCTTCCTAAGTCTTCCTAAGATACTTACTGAGTATCTGTGACAGGCTAGGCACTATACTAGTGCTGATTCTTTGGCCTCCAGGAGCTCATAGGCTAGCAGCAGCTGAAGACATGTGAGTTACAGTACAATGTGATAGGCCCAAAAGAAGATGTACCTAGAAGCAAGTTGCATTGAGCTTGTAGAGCAAGTCAGCCCTCACAAAGGGGGTGCTGCTTCCTGAGTTTTAAGTAGCACTTTTGAGAGAGCTACGTGGTTAACAGGAGAGAAACTCTTGGGCAGAGGAAATAGCATATGCAAAGTCAGAGGTGTCGAACCAGCTCATGGCAGGTTGGACAGTGGTATAGAATGGCTTCCAGATCACCAAGTGCATGGGGTGGCAGATGAAGCTGCATGGGGTAGGCAGAAAGCAGATTATGAAGGCCAAGAGTGTAAGCTGAAGAATTTTATTTCTAGGAAATGGAAGTCATTGAAGATTTTGGTAGGCAAGTAAACAAATCAGTTTTGCATTTTAGAAAGGTCACTCTGGCAGAGTATGAAGAATGAATTACAGGTCAAAGGAACCTTGAAAAAGGCCTGTATTACAGGTAAGGTTAGTTGTGATACCGGAAGTGGCAGAGAAAGGTAGAGCTACAGAGGTAGAGACTGGAGGAGAGATGCTTAAGAGGCTTTGATTCAACATGAGTTTACAGGAGAGAGAGGGAGCCTGGATGGGCTTGGGTCTCAGGTGGAAAGATCACAGAGATAGAAAGCAGAAGATGGAGGATGGGTGGGAGAGAATAGGAGTTCTCTTTTGGGTATTTGGAATTTCTTTGGCTTATGGAATCATCCAAGTGGTGTTTTCAAGTGTGCTGTTGGGTGTACAAGATAAAGAGGAACCCATGGGGACAAAGAGGAAGACAGCAGGCAGAGGAGGAGGTACAGGAGATTCATGTTGAGCCAGATGCATGGAAGGGAAGACCTTTAAGAACAAGTGATCATCAGGGTCAAATGCTCTCAGCAGTTCATGTGACAATAGGATTCAAGGACATTATTAGTGACCCAAGAAGAACAGTGTCAGTAGCAGGGTGGGCATGGAGGCCAGCTGCAGCAGGCTGACAGGAGGAAGATGAGGAAGTGGTGTGTGTGTTCCTCTTTCAAAACGATGAGGCCTGGAAATGGGCCGGTCATATTCACAGCTCTCTCACCAGTACCTAGCTGAGCCCTTGACACAGTGTGCCCTATAATATTTGTAATAATTTCATGAGAGGAGTGAGAGATTCTGGCAATGGCCAAATCTGGTCCCAGGATCCAGAGAGAGCTTCTGGGATTGGTTTGCCCTTGGCCACGAGACAATGGAGCGTGTCAGTACACTAAAGCAGGGGGGCCACTGCAGGAAGAGATCATTAGGGTACAGGAACAAGATACAGGATGGAACAAAGTTCCCAAGGAAAGTGCGAGGAGTCGATCCATAGCATGGGTAGAGGATTGCGGTGAACCAGAAGAGAGAGATGGCTATAGGATTTGTAAGGATGAATTCACAAAATTATCAAGAACTTGAGAGGCTCACAGGTGAGGTTTTTTTCTGCAAGATAAGAATGTAATGTCATGTGTGAAGAATGAGGCAAGAGATGGGCACCTGGGTGGCTCAGATGGTTAAGTGTCTGCCTTCGGCTCAGGTCATGATCCCAGGGTCCTGGGATCGAGTCCCGCATCAGGCTCCCTGCTCAGTGGGGAGCCTGCTTCTCCCTCTGCTTCTCTCTCTCTCTCTCTCTCTCTCTCTCTGTCTCTCATGAATAAAAAAAAAAAAAAGAATGAGGCAGGAGAGATAGGATAAGATGCCTGAGAATATGGATGCTTTGGTCCAACTGACTTGGGGATCAAAACTGTTACGGACCAGGTACATGAACCCTATCCTTGGTTGAAGTAAGAGCTGGGCAAGGGCTCCAGCTCTGGCCTTGCCCAGAATCCCATCTCTAAGGATGAAGCATGTAGACCCACCTCTGTGATGCTCTAATTACCTCCCCCTACCTTTGACCTAGTTCACTGTGCTCTGAGCTTATCCCCCTTGATCACGCTCTAGCTTTTCCCCACTTAAGAACAAGGACAAACTACAGTGGCAGATTTCCTGATGCTAATAGTGGCAGTTTCCCACTTCTAATAGAATGGAATTCTTCAAAAGCAAATGTGTTGCAGTTGTTGGTTACATGGAAAAAAAATGCATTAGCAAATCAGTTAAATGGCATCCTATTATCATTGCTTCTTCTTTTCTTCCAGAAGTCTACTATGCAACCGTGTACTGGATGCCTACTGAAAAAACAGTGCAAGTCAAAAATGTACTGGACAGGAATGGGGACGCCTATGGCTTTTACAATGACTCTATGAAAACCACAGGCTGGGGCATCCTGGAGATCAGAGCGGGGTATGGTTCTCAGACCCTGAGCAATGAGATCACCATGTTTGTGGCTGGCTTTTTGGAGGGTTACCTCACTGCCCCGTAAGTACTTCAGTCTTCAGTTGTGGTGGAGAACTACCAGGCAACTCTGTCCCTTTCTTTGTCCACCAGTGGCTTTGTCTTCCTGACATTGGACATTAGAACCGGAAAGTAGCTGAGGTCCCTCTCATGGGATAGAAACATGATCAGAATCCCATTTTTACCTCCAATCAGTACCTGCTTTGGAAGGAACAAAGCCCCCAACTGTGGCATTCTTCCATTCTTGTGGCACCTAAAATCTTTCTTTTTGTGAAGCTGTTTTAAAATACAGCTAAGCCATTTTATCCTACTAGCCATTTATTGTCTGGTAGAAAGAAAATGATAGGTGGAGTGACTGAGAAACACAAAACACAGAGGATTCGTTAAATTTAAAATGTAAGAACATTTTTTTCAACAGTCTTAAAACAATACTTTCAAGTGGGCAAAAATTTTAAATTGAAATCCTGATGTCTAATATAAACAGTCCTTCCAGTTCTGTTGTTACTTAATTCTTACATCTTTCCCTGTGTCTTATGAAAATAAGGATGTAGTTAATAATAATGCAATCAGGACACATCCTTTTCTGAGATAAGCTCTTTAAGAAGGTTGCAACTCATTTAATCAAGCCTCATCCCTTCTTTGATATAAAAAGTGTCTTGATGACTTGGCTTTTTTCTTTTATTATCTGTGACCTAGACGCTTGAGGGCAGTTTAACCAAACCCTATTGTGTGCTGTTACCACCTTTGTAAGGCACCTTGTTAAGTGCAGTGCCAATCTTAATTTGTTTCTAAGTGCTGGAGATTATATCAAATGTTGAATAACTAGTTCTTGTGTTTTAATATCTCTTTTTTTTAATGAACTAGAAATTCCTGTTTTTCTTTTTATACCAAATTTTTGTTACTCTACCATACAGGTCCCCCTAATGGTAAACTACTCAGAGATGTATAAAGCTTGATAAATGGATTAAGATTTTAAAAACGTGTTTAGGGGCACTTGGGTGGCTCAGTTGGTTAAGCATCCGATTCTTGATTTCGGCTCAAGACACAATCTCAGGGTCATGAGATTGAGCACCCTTTCAGGCTCTGTGCTGGGCGTGGAGCCTGCTTAAGATTCTCTCTCCCTCTCCCTTTGCCCCTCTCTGCACAAAAAAATAAAAAATAAAAAAAAGTGTTTAAATTTATATAAATATAAATATATATAATATATAATCTGAACATTTCATCCTTCTCTATAAATCTATATTTACTGTGTATCTACTAGTTCTGATTGCATTATTTAAATTGAGTTGCAAGTTTAGAGAAATAATTTGGGCTGAAATTGTGTGGCTATAAATACATTAGGTTATCATGAGTGCTATACATAATGGGCCTTTAAGGGAAACTGTGATTTGAGGGAGCAGCTCTAATCTGAGGCTGTAGTAAGGATGAGCATGTCTTCTGTGGGTATGGGTATCACAACAGGAGCTTTAGGGAATTTGCCAGAAGGCTTCTGATGAAGGTGGAATGTCTGATATTCTTATGTCTCAGGAAAACATAAATTTTAACATCTCACTTCTAGGGGTAACTTTATCATTTTACCCTTCTTCTTTTTTTTTTTAAAGATTTTATTGATTTATTTGACAGAGAGAGACACAGCGAGAGAGGGAACACAGCAGGGGGAGTGGGAGAGGGAGAAGCAGGCTCCCCACTGAGGAGGGAGCCCGATGCGGGGCTCAATCCCAGGACCCTGGGATCATGACCTGAGCCGAAGGCAGACGCTTAACGACTGAGCCACCCAGGCACCCCTACCCTTATTCTTAATATAAAGCATTGATCTATCCTTGAGTACCTTTACCCATTAACGAAGAAGATCCATAGAAATATGGGTTAATATCAATTCTATTAGTAACTTTTTTTTTTAAAGATTTTATTTATTTGACAGAGAGAAAGCGAGCGAGAGAGAGCATAATCAGGGTGAAAGGCAGAGGGAGAAGCAGACTCCCCCCTGAGCCGGGAGCCCGACGTGGGACTCAATCCCTGGACTCCGGGATCATGACCTGAGCCACAGGCAGACGCTTAGCCGACTGAGCCACCCAGGCGCCCTGTTAGTAACTTTTTAAATACTTCTATATTAGAGTAAAATTACTTAAATTTTATTTCTTAAAAGGAAAACAGTTAGCTATTATTCAGTAACTGGGTTTTTTTGTTTGTTTACTCTGCATTTTTGCCCAGTCTTTCAAAGAAAATTTGACATGTGTGAGTGTTTTAAGATGAAAACAACTTCCTGGGGTACCTGCGGGGCCTAGTCAGTTGAGCGTCCAACTCTTGCTTTTGGCTCAGGTCATGGTCTCAGGGTTGTGAGATCGAGCCCTCTTTTTTTGGGGGGCTCTGTGCTGGGTGCGGAGCCTGCTTTAGATTCTCTCTCCCTCTCCCTGTGCCCCTCCCCCCACCACCGACCTGCATGTTCCCTTTCTCACAAAAATAATAAATAAATAAATAAAAACAACTTCCTGCATATTGTGATCCATTTTGAGGATCTGGCAACTGAGTCTTCCCTCCCTTCAGGCCAGTAGTAGCACCTGTGAGCAAATGATCAGGAGTGAGGAAGGGGTGGGCCTAGTAACCTCAGTGAAAAATGGATCATTAAGATAAAGTTGGGAGACTCTTCTTGGGAACATTTCTGCTGCAGAGAACAGCCTGGAAAGAGGGCTTGAATCATAAATACTACAACAGTCCAAAAGGAAGGCACCTCATGGGCCAGAACAGTCAAAGAAGGCTTTGTGGAAGGAGTGAGTTGTGGGTCTGGTGATGGATGGGTGAGAACATTCGGCTTGGCTGGGAAGAAGAAGAAAATAATTCTGGGCAGAAGGAAACAGAACCAAGTACTGAAAAAAGGCAGTGAGTCTGAAATGAGTAAGTTGCATTTACAAATGAGCGAGGGTGGAGTAGAGGCTCCATTGATTAGGCAGAGGGCAACAGGTTTAAAAAGGTAGATGGGGGCCGTATCCTGGAAGGCTTTGGATGGAAGCCTGGCTATTCAGCAGTTGTCATTCTTCATTTCAATCACAGAGTGCTCAGAGGTTTCCTGAATTTGAAAGACAGCATCTCTGTTTTGTATTCATTACTGACAGTTCAAGGATATCACCTGCACCAAGGATGGGCTTCCCATAGATGCAGTACCAAGAGTCTTGAGAGGACCTCTGCCCTGCAGAGACTTTGATAGATCTCATGGAACAGAAAATGTTGGTGATCAGGAAGAACCGTGACAAAGAGCCAAAGGGGCTGGATGGAAGAGAGAAGTCAGGTATTCGTATATTTGAAGAAGAAAGAGAAAAAGAGAAAGAGAAAGAGAAGGAGTGGATAAAAAGGGAAAAGAGGAAGGGAGCAAGGGAGGAAAGAAGGAGAAGGGAACCAAAAAAGGAAAAGGAAGCATTGCAACCCAAACTGTTGTTAGAAAGACATTTCCCATGAGCACCTCTTAAGAGACTGTCATTCTAATCGCATTCCTGAAAAGTCAAATAAATAGGGAAGATTTCCCAGCTTGCATTGAAAGGACTTACTCTGTGCCTAGCTCAAAGCTCACAATAGTGGGATGTGACCCAGCATGCTTAGAACATCCCTGGCAATGGGCTGGAGAAGAGACAAGAAGAGAGGAGGCCATCGATTTCCTCCCTATGGTCCAGGAGAAGGCTTGTCATATATTCTGACGCCCAAGAGCTCATTTTGAAGGAAGGAGATCTTCGAAATGGAATGGGGAAGCTGGGCTCCTGGTGATAAGAGCTCCAGGAGGGAGACAGAACAGAGGGCATACTGGAAGGATTCAAGGATTGCAACTCCCAGGCTGGAGGCACCGCCAAGGACCTGCTGCAGTTGGCCGCACAGCCGGGCAGCCCACCGACACTCCTGACGGAGCTGTGAGAGGCAGGGTGGCTGCCTCTAAGCAGAGCTATTCGGCATTCTCTGAAGCAAAGCAGAGGAGCTTAAACTGTCAACCCTCGGGAAGCTGTGGCTAGAGTCACAAACCAACAGAGGAGGACTACAAGTCACGGGCAAGGGTTTTGTTTGTGTCTGTTTTCAGCTACACATGGGCAACTGTCTGAGAAGCAATAGCATCTTCATACACAGACATCAGTTTTTCAATCTAAAACCTATACTCCTGGAGACTGTTATTTGGAGGTGTTTGCAAGGTGTGATTCCACTTACCAAGACACAGCTTTGGAGCAAGAGCATCTGCGGGGGCGCTTGGGCTCAGGTCATGATCCCAGGGTCCTGGGATCGAGTCCCACATCGGGCTCCCTGCTCAGCGGGACGTCTGCTTCTCCCTCTTCCTCTGCTGCTCCCCCTGCCTGTGCTCTCCTGCTCTCTCTGTCAAATAAATAAATAAAATCTTAAATAAAAAAAAAAAGAGCAGCTGAGCCTGGTTTGAGAAGGTGAATTTATGCTAAAGGCCAAAAGAAAGAGCCACCTTTTCTTGTTTTCCTTTTTTTTTTTTTTAAGATTTATTTATCAGAGAGAGAGAGTGGATGTGCACGCACACAAGCAGGGGGAGGGGCAGATGGGAGAGAATCTCACGCAGACTCGGTGCTGAGCGCAGAGCCTCACGAGGGCCTCAACCTCACGACCCTGAGGTCATGCCCTGAGCTGAAACCAAGAGTCCCAAGCGGAACCGACTGGACACCCAGGCACGCACCTTGTTCTCCTTTCAGCTTGCAAAGTTGCTCAGGCAGCTGCCAAGAATCATGGGAAGTTTAGGGCTGCCATGTTCTTCCCACATCACCACATTTAAAATGGAGTGATATTCCTTATATTCTCCAGAACCTTGAGGGGAGAGAAGTGTGTGCAAGGTTGGGTATTGTGGTAGGAACAGTTGAGATACTGTGATAAAGAGCTTGGTTTAACTACCTTGGAGGAAATAATTTGCTCTTTACAACCTATGACATACTTGCGAGGCCAAACGAAAACAAAGAAATATCCTGAAATCCTTCATCATTTCATCTGAAGTGTTCAGGAATTGGTTGCTTCCTTGAACTCTTACAACACTCTCC